TTGTCAAGGTAACTTAAGCAGATGTGGACGTTCACCACCGTCACCGGTTTGGTGGGTTAATTCTATGTTTCATTATAATGATATCAAGGCCCACGCTTTAGTGCACTGAAGGTGGTCACTGGGTAAACATTTATTTCAATTCACGGGGAACACATCCAGCTTTGTCTCTATCAGGCGTTTATTTGAAATAAAACACTTTAAAAAAAAATAATTAAAAATTGAACGCGTGTTCTTATAAAAAAGATTTTTAATTTTTTTTTAATTTTTAGGCTATACGCTTTTTCATCGTCAGCTATCCCGTTACAGTTCAAATTTAATTAAGTTACCAACAGCCCTGGATCGATGCTGACTCTGCTGGGGGAAAACAAATCATTGAATTCCTTGTATAGACACAAACAGCATTCACGTGAACAATATATGAACACGGAGCATCTCCTTGGTAAAAAAAAAAAACGTTGTATTTGCTGGTTCTTTGTTGATGGCGACGTTAGCGTAAAGCAATATTTGTAGAGGAAAGCGTTGACTCGACATGAACGATGAACGCGAACCTCGTGTAAATAATTGCATTAAAAAAAAAAAGTATCTTGCATATTATATATATATTTAACAACTTACCTCAACGGCACGGACACCGGTTGACGAGAACTTCCGGTAATTCGATCTTGAAGAAACGTGTTTGACGTGCGTACACTGTAGATGCGCGATTTTTGTCACGGTCGGGAGATAAGTTATTTCAGAGCATGGCTTTTCGTGAGATAAGTTATTTCAGAGCATAGCTTTTCGTACAAAAGTACAGACCCAAACAATTTTTCTTTTTTTTAATTAAAAAAAAAAAAAACTCACTCTTTTTATTTATTCCTATTTGGACAGCGGGTAGGGGAGGGATGGGCCGTGTTCTAAAAACATGCTAAAACACAATTTAAAAAGGCTTTGTATGTTTTATTCTCCATACCTGCCCCATGGGCAATGAAAAGAGCCAAGTGGAATGGACTTTTCAATATAAAGAAATTTGTTGAGGGAAGGGGGGGGGGGAATTGGTAAACCCCGAGAAAGATTTTCAACCAACGCGGTCGGGAGATATCGGCCAACTAGGCATGATCTACCAGTCAGTCTGTCGCTATAAACAGACAAACCAAAAAAATTAATAAGGTATCAAAGAAAAAAGCAAAGAGTCTCAGAGTTTATGTTTAAACCAACGTTTCCCCGGCACGAGGCGAGGGGCCGCCTTCTGTTATAAAATCAACTGTTCCACAGTCAGTGGATCCCTCTTTCTCCACGGGGATCCTCAAATGGTCTAGTCCTATTGACATCAGGGGCACTCCGACAGTTCTGAACCAATCAGCTTTCCTTTTATTAGATTAGATGTTGTTTTGGTTGATTGTACTGCGGGGAGGGGGTGGGGGGTTGAGCTCTAGTCCAAGAAAATGTCTGTCTCGTCATTGTATTACTTGGCCATACAGATCAACGCATTCAATTTTAAAACAAACATTCTTCTTCTTCTTCTTTATTTTGAGGGCCCACGATCAATGAATTGATCATTCTGGCTCCTATGTTTCAGAGGCGTTTGCGATGTTACTGTGCATGGGTTTCAATGGGATGCTTCACTGGTTGCAAGGGCGACTCAGCAGTGGTGTTATGAACTGGGGGTTGGAATACAGGAGGCAATAGACACAAATGCGTCGATTCATTCATTGATTTAAAAAAAAATAAAAAAATGTTGCGTCTTCTAAAAGTGGACCTCTGTAACTCGACGATAAAGAAACCGCATTTGCCTACACCACCAAAATGATGTACCCCGTGCTAGTGGTAACAACACTAACTTCGGTGAAGGTATCTGCCCCACGCTCCAAAGTACCGTGAATACAGTTCGTGAATTTTACTTTGGAATCGTCAACTGCCCACTGAGTTTCATTACCCTCGGCTGGGCTAAAGCAGACAAATTCGCTGGCAATTCGCGCCATGGCGGCATTTACTTGGTTTCTCTAACTTTATAGGTTTAGGGTCCAGGTTAGGTTTAGGGTTATGTTTAGGGGGTGACCTTTCACGGATTGTGGCAACCAAGATGGCGGCCATGGTGCGCAGAATGTCAGAATTTACCGATAACTGATGAAACTTTGCAATGTCTGCAGACTATCGTAGCACCACAGTGTCGTCAGAGAAGCCTTCATTGACAAATATCTCACGACCTCAAGCTCGGCATGTAGCATCAGCCAATCCATGGAAGAGGATTCTTCCTTTAACAATTATATATATATATATATCTACATTAATTTTTTAATGATGCCATTCGAAGATAGCCACGATATTTTTCAAAAACAAAAAAAATAATAAATTATACTGTCCTATTGGTATGGGACCATCTGTGTTACGTCACAAAAAGGTGAAGGTCAACTTTTTTTTTTTTTTTTTTTTTTTTTTTTTTTTCCTTCAGAAACTCTGGTGAAACAAATCTGGAATCCGCGACCGTTTTTCGTTCATGCAGACACCCGTGGCACTGTAGAAATATAGGGAAATGGAACCTATGGGGACGGAGCAGGTGGTAAATGGTCCAATTCTGATTTTCTGAAGAACTATGCTTCCCCAAACTTTGAGTTTTTTTTTTTTAAATTTCTGTTCATTTAAAACAACAACACAAAACACAACATTTAAATAATGATAACAATATTCAAAGAATTGAGACATTCAATTTGTGTTTATTACCAATCGTTGGGCTATGTTGTGTTTGTTTCGCTCATATGACAAACATTGTTGTGAGTAGACTCAGCAAATCATGGACTCAGCAAATCATTGACTCAGCGCATCATTGAATTAGCCAATCATTGACTTTATCGCCACTCGTCGACTTAATCAATCGTTGAGGTTAACCAACTCAACCAAGGATTCAACCAATCACCGACCTAACCCCATTTTACTTGTAACCAATCAGCCACTCTCTCGTGTAATTCGATAATGGTTTATTTCCTTAAAGAAAACGAACAAAGTGGGGGGGGGGGGGGGGGGGGGTCAGTTCTAAGGTTTAAAATTTAAAAAAAAAGAAAAAAATCAATTCAAATAAAAAATAAAAAAAATCAATAAAATTAGGGGGGGGGGGGGGGGGTGGGGGAGGTCAGTTCTAAGGTTTTAAATTTAAAACAAAAGAAACAAATCAATTCAAATAAAAAATGATAAACATCAATTGAATTTTTCTGAGATCAAGTTGTTCACAGGAAAACTGGACATGGATAGGAAAAAAAAAACGACTGGAAATGTATAGAAAAAAAAAAGACTGGAAATATATAAAAAAAAAAAAAAAAAAAAAAAAAAAAAAATAAAAAAAAAAAAAATAAAAAAAAAAAAAAAAGAAAAAAAAAAAAAAAAAAAAAAAATGAAAAAAAAAAAAAAAAAAAAAAAAAAAGACTGGAAATGTATAGAAAAAAAAAGACTTGAAATGTATAGAATATTGAAATATCCGATGAAAGCCATGACTACTTTTGTTGTTGCTATGTACATATCTTGCTTAAAACAGCAAATTGCTTCAATCACATCAAATGCAGATTTCATTGAATTAAAGATAAATATTCGGTGATAAATATACATCATGTTATTTTTGACATGTCATAAAAATAGAGAGCACCAGCGGTTGGCTGTACATCAACAATATTTAACAAGATCGTTAACTTAATAACATGCGTGATGATAACATGATGTCTTATGTGATGACAACAACTCAATGTTTTTGAGGGGGGTCGGTGAAGTTATTGGGAATGGAAGTATCTAACATGTAATGGTAATGTCTATTAGAATGCAAATTTACTTTTAGGTGAGGGTAATGCCATGTAGGCGCCCTGATAATTGCATGTAAGGGTCCTGGTAATACTATGTAATAGATCGTCAAAATGGCATAATACAAGGGTATTATAATGGTATAAAAGTTCTTAAAAATGTTAACGTTTCTGTAATAATGTCCGAGTCCCTGTAATGGAATGGAATAGTTCTCGTAATAATGTAAGGATCCTCGCAATAAAATGAAATGGTTCTCGTAATAATGTAAGGATCCTCGCAATAAAATGTAATGGTTCTCGTAACAATGTCCTTGTAGTGGAATGTTATGGTGAAAGGAGTTTCGTGAACTGGTCACATGTTTTACAGGGGAGATGGGGGGATACTGAACATGTGTGTTTGTATTGCTGGACTACACACGATCCGTTATCAAGATGGCACGCTCCTCTCTCAATCAAGCCTCCCAATAATACTAGCGTTGTAATCATTGAAGGTGCCGGGACCCCACCCACGGGACCCTACCCACGGGAACCCACCCACGGGACCCAAAACACCAGATCCACCAGTCAGTGAAGATGTCGGGAACCCACCCACCGGGCCCCACCCACGGGACCCCATCCACGGGACCCCACCCACCAGATGACTGTTGTGATAAGTTCAGCCCAGATCTGGGGCTGTCATCCGGCGACGTAATGTGAAGGGGTCAAACCACGTGACCAAAGTCTGACCGCTATCAGGAAACGATAATACTGTCATCCACGCGTCGGCGTTATTGCTCCCCATCCTCTCAGCGTCCATGGACATTGTTACATTTATATGTCTTATGATGTATGGGAAACATTGCTACACTCATATGCCTTAAAATGCATGGGAAATTGTACAAATGTTGAATCATCAATGATATACATTTATAAACCATCAATAACATAAATTTATAAATCCTCAATGACATACCTTAAAAATCATCAATGACATACATTTATAAATCATCAATGACATACCTTTATAAATCATCAATGACATACCTTTATAAATCATCAATGACATACCTTTATAAATCATCAATGACATACCTTTATAAATCATCAATGACATACCTTTATAAATCATCAATGACATACATTTATAAATCATTAATGACATACATTTATAAATCATCAATAACATACATTTATAAATCATCAATAACATACATTTATAAATCATCAATGACATATTTTTTAACAAATAAATAAATATGTATAGCAACAGCGTAAGAATGTTCCTTAAAAAATCGCATATTTAATGCAAAGGAAAAATGGTTTAGGTCACGTATCAATGACATGTAAGGCACATATGAATCACATATAAGGCACATATAAGTCTAATCGCGGTAATAAATTATGGCAAATAAATATTAACATGAACAATGACATTTTATGCTTGTAAACATGGCACAGCACTGACTCCCCGCCCACAGTGTATGCATCTCTAGGGGGGGGCACTGTCCCACTCCCCGGGAAAAGTCAGGTGCCCCCCCCCCTATAAAATGTGCTCAACAATAAAGCAAAAATATAATTTATTCTAAAAAAACAACAATTAAACTACTAAATTGTCATTTATATAACTTTTATCAGAAACTTAATGCAATGGTCCAACATAATCTTAGTGCAATGGTCGAACATAATCTTAGCGCAATGTTCCAACATAATCTTAGTGCAATGGTCCAACATAATATTAGTGCAATGGTACAATATAATCTTAGCGCAATGGTCCAACATAATCTTAGTGCAATGGTCCAACATAATCTTAGTGCAATGGTCCAACATAATCTTAGTGCAATGGTAAAACCAATGGAACATCGCTGTGCTGAAATATGTCTGATGATCCGATATGTCTAAGGCACCTTTAGAAACATAATTCGATTCTGAGCACCGCATCGTTCCAAACATAGACAGCTTCTTGCTTTAACTGGTACAACTATTACCCATTGTTTACATAAATCGTTACTTTTATCACCACCCCCCCCCCTTTTTCTCCAGGGAGGAAAAAAAAAAAGGGGGGGGGGGACACCAGAGCAAGTCAGCAGCCCGCCCAACACCGGAGAGGGGAAAAATGTGTTTTAGCAATAGAAGGGAAAAAAAATATTTTTAGACAGCTTCTTGCTTTAACTGGTACAACTATTACCCATTGTTTACATAAATCGTTACTTTTATCACCCCCCCCCCCCCTTTTTCTCCAGGGAGGAAAAAAAAAAAGGGGGGGGGGAGACACCAGAGCAAGTCAGCAGCCCGCCCAACACTGGAGAGTGGAAAAATGTGTTTTAGCAATAGAAGGGAAAAAAAATATTTTTTTAATCAATAAGGAAATTGTCATTTTTTGTTTAAATTTAAAAAAAAAAAGATTTGTAAATGGTAACTCTAATCTAATCCAACAAACTGAAGGAAATTGTGGAGAAGGAAGAAAACAAACGGAAAGCTGCTATGCTCATTATAATTGGTGTTGTTAACATGTGATTTTTTTATACCGGTACTTTTTTTATTTGTTAAATGTATGTCTTGGCAACATACCTAGTTTAAAGATGTAGGTTATGTTGATGAAAAAGTGCGTCATATACTCGGAACAATGCGGAATTATATGCGCTTTCCATCGCTATAAAGACCGATATCTTTTGAGCTAACTCTTTGCCAACTAGAAAACATCGGCAATGTGATTTCGATTTCTATTTCATTACACTGTGAGATCAGCTTTCAAAAAAACAACAAAAAAAAGTGCAGTGTGTTAACTGTATGATATCAATGCGCTCTAAAAAAAAATAAAAATAAAGTTAACAGTGTTATTATATCACTTTGACAAATAATTTATAAAAGTTGTCATTTATGATTGCAGGCTTTTTCTCTAAAACAGGGCCTCTATTCCTTTATACCTGGTACAGCATGGAAATATTTAGGAAGGTCAGTATTACAACTGTTCTTTTTGTCTGTGACGGACGGCTTTGTGTGTGGAATTATTTGTGTGCAAGTTCCGTTGCTGCTTTACCCGCCCCCCCCCCTCTTCCCACCGCCGATCACTGTGACAGTAAAAAGGGGGGGGGGGGGTAAAACCGACGAATTATTTGTATTTATTTATTTTTATTTATTTATTTATTTTTGGGGTGGGGGGCAGTCCAAATTTGGCACAAAAAAAAGTTTGACGTCATTTATGGATGGCCCCTTAAACTCCTAACAGGAATCTCCAACCAAACAGTGGTCGCAGAGGCCCCACGTCTAATCAGCCATCAGACCAAACAGTGGTCGCAGAGGCCCCACGTCTAATCAGACATCAGACCAAACAGTGGTCGCAGAGGCCCCACGTCTAATCAGACATCAGACCAAACAGTGGTCGCAGAGGCCCGACGTCTAATCAACCATCAGACCAAACAGTGGTCGCAGAGGCCCCACGTCTAATCAACCATCAGACCAAACAGTGGTCGCAGAGGCCCCACGTCTAATCAGACATCAGACCAAACAGTGGTCGCAGAGGCCCCACGTCTAATCAACCATCAGACCAAACAGTGGTCGCAGAGGCCCCACGTCTAATCAACCATCAGACCAAACAGTAGTCGCAGACAATCTACGGCTATACAACCATCAGACCAGAGCTCAAACTTTGTCGCATCCAATACCGGTAGGTCAGTTGACCTTGGGAAATTATCAGCATTTACAATCAAGGCCGTGCGGTGTCGCAGCAAAAGCTGCGCTTGAGGCAAAACCTAAAATTTAGGCGCCCTATTATCTCCAAAATTGTAAATTCATGCACGTATTTTGCATGAAAAATTACGATTTTGCACCCTCTGAAATCGTTGCAATGGATGGATGCCCCTTGCCCCCATTTCGCAAGGCCCTGTTTGTAATGGCTTGAGACAGTAGTTACCCCTGGATACTTTACAGTTATCACCCTTTGCGTAACTAATGTAAACAACAACAAAAAATATATATATATGTTTACACATTAAAAAGGAATGTATCTCTATCTATGTATATATAATTAAACTTGTCTAAAAATAGATGAGGGTCAGACCCCTTTCCCGTCAGAGACATCATAGAGAAGACGGTAGAGATTCTTGACTGAGCCCAACATGGCGGAGCCGCTGTCCTGACACTGTTTCAGCTGGTTCAACGGGAGGGACATGTTACACTCCCTGGGATGGAATCTGGCGGGAGGAGAATGTCGGGCGTTAGGGATGTCGTGCGTAGTTGAGATGGGAAAGTCAGTAATTTAGATTAGAAAGTCAGTAGTTAAGATAAGAAATTCAGTAGTTAAGATGAGAAAGTCATTAGTTTAGATGGGAAATTCAGTAGTTAAGATGAGAAAGTCAGTACTTAAGATGAGAAATTCAGTAGTTAAGATGAAAAAGTCATTAGTTTAGATGGGAAATTCAGTAGTTAAGATGAGAAAGTCAGTACTTAAGATAAGAAATTCAGTAGTTAAGATGAAAAAGTCATTAGTTTAGATGGGAAATTCAGTAGTTAAGATGAGAAAGTCAGTAGTTAAGATGAGAAAGTCATTAGTTAAGATGAGAAAGTCAGTAGTTAAGATGAGAAAGTCATTAGTTTAGATGGGAAATTCAGTAGTTAAGATAAGAAAGTCAGTAGTTAAGATGAGAAAGTCAGTAGTTAAGATGAGAAAGTCAGTAGTTAAGATGACAATTTCAGTAGTTAAGATGAGAAAATCAGTAGTTTAGATGAGACAGTAGTAAGTAATGAAACTTTCTTTATGATAAAATGCAAGTTTAAACCTTTTTTTTTTAATTTAACAAAAAATGAGGGAAAAGTGAAGGGGTTGGGGGTGGGGGTTGGCTGCTGTAGACAACCATCAATTAATGACATGACATGACATTGTTTAAACAATGATGATCACATATGATAACTTAGTTAACCAAGCCATCACAGAATTGACGTTAACAGATTATGGGTTTAACTCACGTCATATCAACAGCATAACGGGAATGTCGTGGATATCCGTACTCACCTGTGAATCATGGGTATCCGTACTCACATGTGGATCATAGATATCTGTACTCACCTCTGTATCATGGGCATCTTTACTCACCTATGTATCATAGATACCTGTACTATCTGTGTATCATTGATATCTGTACTAACCTGTGTATCATGGATATCCGTACTCACATGTGCGTATCATGGATATCCGTACTCACATGTGTATCATAGATATCTGTACTCACCTCTGTATCATGGGCATCTTTACTCACCTATGTATCATGGATGCTTGTACTCACCTGTGTATCATAGATATATGTACTGACCTGTGTATCATGGACGGGTCAGACCCCCTGATCACCTCGAGGCCCAGGCCGATGCATTTTTCATAGAAGTCAACATCTTCCAGGCCCCAGCCGACAATGTCTGTCTTGAAGCCTCCGGCTCTAGAGACAGACACATGAGAAGGTCATGGACAGACAAATGAGAAGGTCGTGGACAGACAAATGAGAAGATCATAGACAGACAAATCAGAAGGTCATAGACACGCAAATCAGAAGTTCATAGACAGACAACTTAATCAGACAACTTTTAAAGCATACATTTTGTTGAAACATCACAGCGAATATGAATTTTACAGTTTGGGAAGGGGGTAGGGGGGATTTGGGGGGGGGGGTACGATGAGTACTTGGAATGTCGCCTCCTTGGATTTTACTCCTTTTCCTTTTCAAATTTGACTAAAGTATATTTTGAATATTAGCTAGATGGTGGATAGAAACATCTCTTAAAGATGGAAATAGTCTAGAAAAGTTCAAGTTGCCTGCCAGATTTTGACTTTTTAACAAATTAAAATGGCCTTCAAAACAGATAAGACGAGCAGTTCCATTGATATAGCGGAGTCCCTTGATGTCCTTCTCGCGGTGCTTCCTGTTCCATTAATACCGTGAGGATCGTCGATACATCGATTAAATGGATTCACATACAGCATGTATTAGAATGTATTACAGTATATCATCTGGACTATAGCAAGCCCCACCTCCCACACCAGCCCTACCTCACCGTGTGAGATCCCTCATGTAAACGGCCCCCACCTCCAACACCAGCTCCACCTCACCGTATGAGATCCCTCTTGTAGACGGCCCCCACCTCCAACACCAGTCCCACCTTACCGTATGAGATCCCTCTTGTAGAAGGCCCCCACGTCCAACACAATCCCCACCTTACCGTATGAGCTCCCACTTGAAGACGGCCCCCATCACCATTCAACAAGCCCCACCTCCCATACGAGCCCCAACTCACCGTATGAGATCCCTCTTGTAGACGGCACCAATGCCGTAGCTGAAACTCCTCCAGAGCCCCACCTCGTCCCTGCGACTGTTGAGGAGTGTGTCACAATCGTCTTGTTTGTAACAGATGGACTCTGGACTGGAGAGGAAGAGGTCAAACATATAACATCAGATAGACTCTGGACAGGAGAGGAACAAGTCAAACATATCAGATAGACTCTGAACTGGAGAGGAACAAGTCAAACATATAACATCAGATAGACTCTGGACTGGAGAGGAACAAGTCAAACATATCAGATAGACTCTGAACTGGAGAGGAACAAGTCAAACATATAACATCAGATAGACTCTGGACAGGAGAGGAACAAGTCAAAAATATCAGATAGACTCTGAACTGGAGAGGAACAAGTCAAACATATTACATCAGATAGACTCTGGACTGGAGAGGATCAACTGAAACATATCAGATAGACTCTGGACTGGAGAGGAACAACTCAAACATATCAGATAGACTCTGGACTGGAAAGGAACAAGTCAAACATATTACATGAGATAGACTCTGGACTGGAGAGGAACAAGTCAAACATATTACATCAGATAGACTCTGGACTGGAGAGGATCAACTGAAACATATCAGATAGACTCTGGACTGGAGAGGAACAAGTCAAATATATCAGATAGACTCTGGACTGGAGAGGAAAAAGTCAAACATATTACATCAGATAGACTCTGGACTGGAGAGGAACAACTCAAACATATTACATCAGATAGACTCTGGATTGGAGAGGAACAACTCAAACATATTATATGGGAAAGTAAAAGCTAACAGATATAGAATTCAGGTGGAGATAAAAGATGGTGTAGAGATA